AATTTTATATAGCCCCTTTGTTTTCTATTAAACTTTTCAAAGAACCAGCTCTTTTCTGTATTAATTTTTTAATAGTCTTTTTGTTCTCTATGTCATTCCATTCTTCTCTAATTTTTTATTGCTTCCTTTATTTTGCTGACTTTGAGCTGCTTTTGTCCTTCTTTTTTCTAGTTCTTTAAGATGTAATGGTAGATTGCTAGCCTACCATTAACTTGGTTGAAAATCTTGTTTCTTGAGACAGACCTGTAATGATATAAACTTCTATCTTAATACTGGATTCACTCCATCCCAAAAGGTTTGATATGTTGTATTGTCATTCATATTTGTCTCTATATATCTTTTTTTTTTTTTTGAGGTGGGAAGGGACAGAGAAAGAGAAGGAGAGAAACATCAATGAGACAAACATCAATCATCACCTCTCACACATGCCCAAACCAGGGACCAAACTTGCATCCTATGCATGTACCCTGACTAGGAATCAAACCAGTGACCATTCACTTTGTGGGACAATGCTCAACCAACTGAGCTACACCAGTCAGGGCTATCTCTCTATATATTTCAATCTCACCTTTTTTTGCTTTGACTCAGTCATTTTTTTGTAAAATATTGTTTAATCTTCACATGTTGGTAGGGCTTTTTATTTCTTTTTTGCAGTTTATTTCTAATTTCAAGGCATTGTGGTCAGAAAATATGCTTGGTATGATTTCAATTTTCTTTTTTTTTTTTGAGATTTTATTTATTTATTTTTAGAGAGAGGGGAAGGAAAGGAGAAAGAGAGGGAGAGAAACATCAGTGTGTGGTTGCCTCTTACACACCCCCTACTGGGGACCTGGCCCGCAACCCAGGCATGTGCTCTGACTGGGAACTGACTCAGCAACCCTTTGGTTCACAGGCCCATGATCAGTCCACTGAACTACACCAGTCAAAGGCTGATTTCAATCTTCTTAAATTTGTTGCAGCTAGATTTGTGACCCAACATATGGTCTATACTTGCGAATATTCCATGTGCACTGGAGAAGAATGTATAATCTGATGTTCTGGGATAAAAGGCTCTGTAAATGTTATTTATGTCCCTTTGATCTAATGTGTCATTTAAGGTCGATATTTCTTCATTGATTTTTCTGTTTGGATGACCTATTTGTAGCTGTCAATAGAGTGTTTAGGTCCCAAACTATTAATGCATTTTGTCAGTTTCTCCCTTTAGTTCTCTTAGTAGTTGCTTTATATATTTTGGTGCTCCTTGATTGGGTACATATACAGGGTCTGGCAGAAGTAAGGTCTGTTGAGTGTGGTTGGTAGAGTAATAATATGGGTGTGATAATTTATAGTTTTAATTTGAGCATTTCACCTAAAATGTCATAGGTATGCTTGAATGTGAATTACATGTTTATGATTTTATAATTAAAAAGGGATGTTATTTGTGCCAGACCCTGTATATTGAGGTGTTATATCTTCTTGATGTAATGTCCTCTTTATCATCATAAAATTTCCATCTTTGTCTCTTGTTACCTTTATTATCTTGAAATCTATTTTGTCACGTATAAGTATGGCTACAACTGCTTTTCTGTGGATGCTATTTGCTGGGAAAATCTTTTTCCCCAATTTCACTTTGAGTCTAACTTTGTCTCTGCAGCTTAGATGTGTTTCCTGTAGGCAACATGAGTTCTGTTTTTTGATCCAATCTGCTACTCTTTTCCTTTCTATTAATGATTTCAGTTCATTTACATTTAGGGTAATTATTGATTAGGATTTCCTATTGCCATTTTATCCTTTGTTTTCTGTTAGCTCTGTGTCTGCATTGGTTCTTTTCCCTTGTATTCTGTCTGTTGTTTTTGTCTAGTGGTTTCCATGCTTTTTTCCTAGTTCTACTTTTCATTAAGTTATTGTTCTTTTTTGATTCAGTTTTTTTTATTTTTTGTGTGTGGTTACCATTTGGCTTATTTTAAAAAAGATTCATATATATATAGTAGTCCTTTTTCTTTTGATTGCATTTGATCTCTATCTTCCTTTGCATATATACAGAACTTTACCCCATCCATTTTATGTTTTTGATGTCACAAATTATTTCTATGTACTCTGTGAGATCATCGGTTATCTTGTTTGTAGTTTAGTGACCTTTAGTTCTTTGTTTCAGGTAGAATAACCCCCCTTGAGTTAAGACCATAAGAAAGGTCTTAGGGTGATACATTCTCTCAGCTTCTGTATGTCTGGAAAAGTCTTTATTTCTCTTTCATATCTAAAGGATAACTTTGCTGGATATATTATTCTTAGTTCGTAATTTCCCTATTTCAGTAGTTTGAATATTTGTTTCCACTCTCTTCTAGCTTGTAGAGCTTGTGCTTAGAAGTCCAATGATAGCCTAATAGGCTAGGCTTTTCTTTAAAGGTTACTTTATTATTTTCCCTGGATACCTTGAGAATTCTTTCTTTATCATTAATTTTTGACAGTTTTAATACAGTCCCTTGGATAAGGCCTTTTTGAATTGAGGTAATTAAGCATTCTGTTTGCTTCTTAGATTAAAGGATCTAGCTCTTGCCACACATTTGGGAAGTTCTCATCGACTATTGTTTGAGTAGGCTCTCTGTTCCCTTCTCCTTCCCCCCCTTCTTCTGGTGTGCCTATTATTCTTATATTGTTCTTGCATATGGAGTCAGATAGTTCTCATAAAGTTCTTTCATTTTTCTTTTATGCACAAGTCTCTCTTCTTCCCTTTGCATGATTTCTAGATTTCTATCTTTGACATCACTGGTTTTTTTTCCCTCTATCTGGTCAACTTGAGTTTCCAGGCTTGCTAGTTCATTCTGGATCTCTTGTATTGACTTCTTCATCTCTAGAATTTCTATTTGGCTCTTTTTTAAAGTTTTGATCTCTTAAGTGGCCATTTTGTTCATTAATTTTCTAAGTTCATTAAACTACTCATCTGTGTTTTCTTGAATCTCATTGAAGTTTCTGAAAACTGCAATCTTTAATTCTGTCATTTAAGTCACATATTTCCATGGTTTTAAGTTTATTTTCTGGAGATTTTTCATTTTCTTTCATTTTTCACATTTTTAAAATTGTCTTTCAAGTACAGTTGTCCCCATTGCCCCACCACCACTATCCCCCAACCCCAGCCATCCCCACTTCCCACCCTTGATCCTACCCCTCTTTGGTTTTGTCCATGTGTCCTTTACACATGTTCTTGAAAACGCTTCCCCCTTTTCTCCCCATTATTCCTTCCCACCTCTCCTCTGGTTACTGTCAGTTTGTTCTCAATTTCAATGTCTCTGATTATATTTTGCTTGCTTGTTTGTTTTGTTGCTTAGATTTCAGTTAAAGGTGAGATCATATGGTATGTGTTCCTTACCTCCTGGCTTATTTCACTTAGCATAATGCTCTCCAGACCCAACCATGCTGTCACAAAGGGTAGAAGGTCCTTCTTTCTCTCTTTCTTTCTTTTCTTTCTTTCTTTCTTTCTTTCTTTCTTTCTTTCTTTCTTTCTTTCTTTCTTTCTTTCTGCTCCATAGTATTCCATCACGTAAATGTACTATAGTGTTTGATCCATTCATTTACCGATGGACACTTAGGTTCCTTCCAGCACTTGGCTATTGTAAATTGTGCTGCTGTGAACATTGAGGTGCATATGTTCTTTTGGATTGGTGTTTCATGGTTCTCAGGGTAGAATCCCAGCAGTGGAATTGCCAGGTCAAAAGGCAGTTCCATTTTCAGTTTTCTGAGGAAATGCCATAGTATTTTACATAATGGCTGTACCAGTCTTCAATCCCACCAACAGTGCACTAGGGTTCCCTTTTCTCTACATCCTCTCCAACACTTATTGTTTGTTGATTTATTTATGTTGGCCACTCAGAGCAGTGTGAGTGGTATCTCACTGTGGTTTTAAGTTGCATCTCTCTGATAGCTAGTGATGCTGAGCATCTTTTCATATGTCTCTGGGCCCTTTGTATGTCCTCCTTGGAAAAGTGTCTGTTCAAGTCCTTTGCCCATTTTTTAATTGGATTTTTTGTCTTCCTGGAGTGGAGTTGTGTGAGTTCTTTATATATTTTAGAGATCAAACCCTTGTCTGAGGTATCATTGACAAATATGTTTTCCCATGCAGCTTTTCTCTTTTCATTTTAATGATGTTTTCTTTAGCTGGGCAGACACTTTTTATTTTGATGAGATCCCATTTGTTTATTCTTCCCTTTATGTCCCTTGCTCTAGTAATTTTCTTTCTGAGCTGCCTCATTACCTTAGTTATGCATAATATTTGATGAATTTCTTCTCTATCTAGGCATCTATGTATACGTTGCTTTTCTCTAATAGATTAGTAAGAAGTCTTTCTATTATTTTCCAGTAGGTGGCGCTGAATCACAAGTATTTTTAGCTCTCCTGCACTTTTCTGGCTTTTCAGATCTCCACAGGGATGGTGGAAAATGGCCTATGTTCCCTGGAAAGGTGGGTGGCACCCCTTCGATATAGTCATTCTGGTCCCAGGGGACCAACCCTATAGGGGAATTTGGTGGGTAATGGGGCTCCAAATCCGTGAAATTCCAGTGCTGTCTCCCACAGTCAGACACCTCCAGCAGTGTAGCCACAATGTGTGAGGGTGGGGGGAGCTTGGGGAACCTAACTACCTCCTTTGTTGCTTTGCCCTCCCAGCAATGGCAACCAGCAGCCCCCCACAACATTCCATCCAGCCCTGAGATGTTCAAATTGTAGAAACTTCAAGGGGAGAGACTAAGAGGAAATCTCTCATATCACCACTCCTAAAACATCGTTCCAAGATGTCTTTATATCAAAATAAGATGGAATTCAACAGATGATGTCCACTGACAAAAACAGTTCAAGCAGCCTGGAATTGTACGATAACCAAGAATCAGGGCCAAGAGGCTCATTCAGAATAGGGCAGGATTTATTTAAGACTTGTTTTAGAATATTCAATACATTTGCCTGCATCAGTCAAACTCCTTGTCCTAAGAAAAGGTTCAAATGCCTCAGCAGCAAAGTGACTTGTCATTATCTCTCTGTCTTTTCTCCCCAGTCTAGGAACAATGAATAAGTCAGGGGTATCTACTGTGACACAGTTTGTCTTGTTGGGCTTTCCTGGCCCCTGGAAAATGCAAATTATCCTTTTCTCAATGATTTTGTTCATCTACATCTTGACTCTGACTGGAAATATGACCATCATTTGTGCGGTGAAGTGGGACAGCAGACTCCATACCCCTATGTACATGCTCCTGGCCAACTTCTCCTTCCTAGAGATCTGGTACGTGACCTGCACAGTCCCCAATATGCTGGTCAATTTTTTTTCCAAAACCAAGACCATATCCTTCTCCGGTTGTTTTATTCAATTTTACTTCTTTTTTTCCCTGGGCACAACTGAATGTTTCTTCCTCTGTGTCATGGCTTATGATCGGTATCTAGCCATCTGCCATCCACTGCACTATTCCTCCATCATGACTGGACAGCTATGTGCCATCCTGGTGTCCCTTTGTTGGCTCATTGGTTTCCTTGGATATCCAATTCCTATTTTCTTCATTTCTCAACTACCCTTTTGTGGTCCCAACATCATTGATCACTTTCTGTGTGATGTGGACCCACTGATGGCATTATCCTGTGCCCCTGCACCCATCATAGGACATATATTCTATTCTATGAGCTCTGTTATCATCATTCTCACCATGTTGTACATCCTTGGGTCCTATATCTTGGTGCTCAGAGCTGTGCTTCAGATTCCTTCTTCAGCTGGGCAGCAAAAGGCCTTCTCTACCTGTGGATCCCACTTAGTTGTGGTTTCTCTGTTCTATGGAACTATAATGGTGATGTATGTAAGTCCTTCATCTGGTAACCTAGCTGCTATGCATAAGATCATCACACTGATATACTCCATAGTGACACCAGTCTTAAACCCTCTCATCTACAGCCTACGCAACAGGGACATGAAATTTGCCCTTCGTCAGGTCTTTTGTGGAATGAGAATTACCCAAACATCATGAATAGGTTTTATTTAATCCATTGACTCTCTTTCTCCAAGTGTAAGAATAATTCAATTCTTCTACCTCACCTGACTTTGCTTTATTCACAAACATTAAAGTCCTTTTGTGCAAAGCAAAATTCATCATGTATTGATCATTTTTTATATGCTTTTTGTTTCATAAATGCATTCCTGTGGGAAGAGACAGACACCAGACAGATGGTAAAAATTATTCTTAAAATCTCAAGGTTTACTTCTAGGGAAGTTTTTTTTAATGTATAATATGTGTCTGCACAACTTAAGAGATGGAAATAAAATTGGTTATTTGCTTATGTGGCTGTATAACACTCTGTTTAAAAGACAAATAAAAGAGAAAATGCATGTCTGTCCTCAATTCTTGATAGAAACCCCATACACCAGCATTGGATACATCAACAGCCTATAAAGCCAGTTTTTCAAAGCTTAGTTCATCAGCCTCATCAAAGTGTACAAGGGGAGGCTGGAAGCTTGATTGAGGCCATGAGTAAAAATATCTTTAGTGAGTTGTTAGTATGTAATATCCATGATATAAATGAGGATTATATCAAAAGAACCAGTCAGAAGACTTGACCTTGTTCCCTGAAGTTTGAAGGACACCTGCACTGTCCCTTATTCAGACGGGGAAAAAATGTCAATACTATATAAAAGGGCTATTGGCTTATGCTGAGAGCGCAGCAGAAAGAAATAGACTGCAACAGGAACAAACTGAATTCCCACCAAAAATAGAGCAAATATAGAATACCCACATTTAGCCTAGTTAGAGCTCAAGCAAGATAATCATTTTGGACCATCTTGAAAGGGATTCCACTCAAAAGTACTACTTGATGAAGTAAGGTCACCCCCTAAGTGAGTCTATATGTAGTTAGTCACCAGAATCAGGGATGAAAGGAGTTGTAAGTAGCTAACCAAGAAAGCCTTGCCTACATCAGGGAACTGCAGTTTAGAAAGCTCCCTGCCCCCCAGATAAACGTGGGGTGGGGGGAATGTGGAGAACCACCAGCAGAGGGGCGTTTCCACAGGGTTTGGAAGTTTTAAACTCAAGGACCCGGGCAGGGTTTGCCACAACCTCATTAGTATGTTAGGGGCAGAGAGGGAAGGAGACATTAAAAGTGCTCAAGCCACATAATAAAAATGGAAATACCAAGTTCACATGGAAGGTCGTACCTCGTACATCAGGTACACCATTGTCTCTCTAGAAAGTTCATTGGTCCTTATAGGAATGGAGCTTAACCCCACTCCAACTGCAGGATCCTTGTTGCCATCACGCAGAAATCATGTGGTAGCCTAGCCCAGTGTGGTTGATGCAGGCCCTGCTGGGGAGTGGGGGGTGTTGGCCTCAGGAGCGTTTGAGCACTGGGCTTTTCAGGGCTGTTGGCATCTTCTGCCAGAGCTGCCTCTGGGTATGAGGAGGTTGCCAGGCAGCTCTGCTGCTTCTCTGTTTGCTGCATTTGCATTGTGATTTATAACCCTAGAGAGTCTACTTTTCTTCTGCAGTTAAAAAAAAATCCCATAAGGAGACACACACACACACACACACACACACACACACACAATTAATACTGGGGGAAGAGAGAAAGATGAATAGGCAAAAGACAGATTTTTTAAGGCAGTGGGAATACTCTATGTTTATTATAATGATGGATATATGTCATTATACATTTGTCGAAAACTATGGAAAGTATAACACCAAGAGTGAACCCTAGGATAAACTATGGACTTTCAGTGATTATGATGTGCCAATGTAGGTTCATCCTTGTGGGGAGAAAAAGTACCCTTCTGAGAACTAAATGTCCATAATTGGGAAGGGGGTGACTACGTATATGTATGTGTGGGGGCAGAGGGTATATTGGAAATATCTGTGCCTTCCTCTCAACTTTTTTATAAATCTAAAACTGCTCTGAAAAAAATTAAAGTCTTTAAAAAAGAGAAGGGAACTATCAGGCATGCCAGAAAATGTAGTAGATATAAGTGAAACCCCCAACAAAGAACTAAAAAGTTTCATAAAATATATAATACAACAACACACTCATGACACATAAGAAACAAGATACTGTGAGAGACAACAGAAACAGTAAACAGACCAGAACAATAAAACTTTCAATTACAGAATAAAGCATCTTTGAGAGTCCTAGAATCCAAGCAAAGTAGCAAATTATATTGTCCTAATTATATGAGACAATATAAATCAGAGAAATAAAATTTGCATAGCATTATATTTCAAAAAAGAATTTACTCTTCAATTAGGTTCCCCATTATTTTATTTCAAGTTTGTTTTTTACAAATTTCTTTTAAAATACATGGCAGTAAATGTATAAAACATATATGAAAAGCACAATAAGTAAAATGAGTAAGTAATTATAAACCAAACATCTAATAGCCACTACCAAACACAATAAATAGGACATTGCAAGAACTCTGGAAGTCCTTTTCATTTTTTAAAAATATATTTTATTTATTAAGCTATTACAGTTGTCCCTTTCCCCCCTTCACTCCCTTCCACCCTGCACACCCCCTCCCATCCACATCCCCCCCCGCTTTAGTTCATGTCCATGGGTCATATTTATAAGTTCTTTGGCTTCACATTTCCCATACTATTCTTACCCTCCCCCTGTCTATTTTCTACCTACCATCTATGCTACTTATTCTCTGTACCTTTTCCCCTTCTCTTCTCCTCCCAGTCCCCTGTTGATAACCCTCCATGTGATCTCCATTTCCATGGTTCTGTTCCTGTTCTAGTTGTTTGCTTACTTTGTGTTTTTGTTTTAAGTGTGGTTGTTAATAACTGAGTTTGATGTCATTTTACTGTACATGCTTCTTATCTTCTTTTTCTTAGATAAGTCCCTTTAACATTTCATATAATAAGGACTTGGTGATGATGAACTCCTTTAACTTGACCTTATCTGAGAAGCACTTTATCTGCCCTGCCATTCTAAATGAAAGCTTTGCTGGATAGAGCAATCTTGGATGTAGATCCTTGCCTTTCATGACTTGGAATACTTCTTTCCAGCCCCTTCTTGCCTATAAGATCTGTTTTAGGAAATCAGCTGATAGTCTTATGGGAACTCCTTTGTAGGTAACTGTCTCCTTTTCTCTTGCTGCTTCTAGGATTTTCTCCTTCATTTTTACCTTGACTAATGTAATTATGATGTGCCTTGGTGTGTTCTTCCTTGGGTGAGCTTCTTTGGGACTCTCTGAGCTTCCTGGACTTCCTGGAAGTCTATTTCCCTAGATTGGGAAAGTTCTCCTTTATTATTTGTTCAAATAACTTTTCCAACTGTTGCTCTTCCTCTTCTCCTTCTGGTATCCCTATAATTCGGATGTTGGAACATTTAAAGATATCCTGGAGGTTCCTAAGCCTCTCCTCTCTTCTCTGAATTCTTATTTCTTCATTCTTGTCTGATTGGATGTTTCTTTCTTCTTTCTGGTCCACACCATTGATCGAAGCCCCAGTTTCCTTCCCATCACTATTGGTTCCCTGTACATTTTCCTTTATTTCACTTAGCATACCCTTCACTTTTTCATCTAATTTGCAACCAAATTCAACCATTTCTGTGAGCATCCTGATTATTAGTGTTTTGAACTGCGCATCTGATAGGTTGGCTACCTCTTCATTGGTTAGTTGTATTTTTTCTGGAGCTTTGATCTGTTTTTTCATTTAGGCCATTTTTTTGTCTTGATGTGCCTGTTATGTAATGAGGGGAAGAGCCTTAGGTGTTCATTCAGGCAGGGTAACCCAGTTGCTGGGCTATGATACTGTATGTGGGGCAGGGGCCTGAGAGGGAACAATGATGCTTGTTCCACTCTCTGTTCGACTCCAATCCCCTCCGCCGCTTCCCCCACTAGACTGGGCCCTCCTGGGGCTGATTCCCATGTGGGTGGGTTTGTGTACATTCTAGGACCCTGTGAGTCTCTCCAACAAACTCTCCTGGGGGGCTGGGAGTCTCTCCCAGCACCTCAACCCCCACAGATGTTTTCAATCAGTGATTTGAGGCTTTATTTCCCCATGCTGGGACCCTGGGTTGTGTAGTCTGTCTCGCTCCCATTTCACCTGGTTTATCTGCACTCAAATATGGGAACGCCTGGTCTGCCAGCCACCTTGTGCACTCAGGGTCCACCAGCTGCCACTTTGCCACAAGCCCTCTCAGCCCCAGTTGCCTGACTCCACCCCTCCCATGGGTCTAGATGAATGTGTCTTCTTTAACTCCTTGGTTGTCAGACTTCCATACAGTTCAATTTTCTGTTAGTACTGGTTGTTTTTTGTTTTTAAATTGTTGCTGTTCTTATTTTCATTGTGCAAGGGGGCACAATGTGTCTACCTATGCTGCCATCTTGGCCAGAAGTCCTCCCTTTTATTTTTGATCATACTTATTTCTCTAACTTCTACTGTAAACATCTTTGCTTTATAATTTTTCTTCCTCTCCTAAAAACATAGTTAAGATTTACCTGCTTTAAACCTGTACATATTACAAATATGTTTAATGTTATGTTTTTTATTTTTTTTTACTTTGTATACAATAAAATTTACTCTTTGAATTAACTTCAATTTGATCATTTTTTGCTTATATAATTTGAAGTTTTGTTGTTAGGTACATCCTACATTCAGAATTGTTATATCTTTCTGGAGAAATGACATATTTTGAATCATGTAATGTCCTTCTTTATTTCTGATATTGTTCCTTATTCTGAAATTTACTTTGATATTAATGGAGCTATATCACAATTTTCTTTTGATTAATGTTTGTATGATTAATCTTCCTCTAGTATCTTAGTCTAATTTCTGGTATGACTGGAATGAAATCTATCATTTTGCTAACT